CCCACTCATTCGACTTCTACCTTAGCAGGCAAATACTTAGCCTCCCCCACGCCTCATTCAAGCTGCATACATGGTGGTACACCTAACCTAGGACAGTGTTTCAACCTTCTTATCAGATCCATTGAGTTCCAGAGGGCAGTTTTAACAACAGGCTCAACAAAAACGATTTTCAACTTTCCTCATATTGTACAGGTAGTTCTCCTTCTTGCAGTCAGTCTCATTATGGAGTGACTTTGTGCAATATACTGAGGAAAAATAATACTATAAATTATTCTCTTTATTCCTGATGATATTGGGTTTACCCACTACTTATATCTCATATTTGCATTACCACATGGTGCTAACAAAAGACTTCACAATGATCTGCCTCTATCCTATTCACTATCTGAAATTGGCAAGTCTGCAAGTTACCGACATGGTCTTACAACTCAAAGTGTGACCAACATTCCATCAAAATGTTTATCTTGCTTACTCTCCACCCTTTTGTCATTTGTACACATTACATGTAAACTTGGTTCAGTATTTCCACTGCAATAATTTACAGGGTAGTTAATAATCCTTTCCCTATTGTTCAAAAATCAAACAGCTGAACATCCTTCTTAATTTTGCACGCCTTTCTGCACCCCTGCGAATGTTCTGCACTTAACAAAATGAAAGGCATGTCGGTTATGATAATATGTGCACATTATGAATCAAAATAAACAGGAGGCTGTGTCTAACGCAGGAAATCTAGCCACATCAAATTCAACCCTTCAACCAACCGCATATCATGCATGGAAACCACAGACGATTAACTTTTGCAAAAAAACAGCAGTACATGTATTTGAAAATTGTCAGTTCACACCTCAGCCAATGACCCAGGACCATTATCCCAAATGACATAACATCTTCTTTTGCGGGACGGAATGACAGACTGAAGAATCTGAAACCGAAGAGGAGGAATGTGAGCAAGGAGAAACTTAAACTTTGGATGGCTGACAGAGAGCAAACAGGCCCTGATGAAACCTGTAGTCTTCTGGCAATGCCACACTCGTCCTCAGAAAATAAAATAAGATTCATATTTTCCATGGATGAACATGGCATTTCTGGGTTGCTCAGTAGACTTCAAGCTAGTCTGCACACATTTACATGCAATACCCACTTCATTTCATGTACTGCAGCTCTATGAGATGACTAATGGAGCTGTCGCTTGTCTTATATTCCTGACATGTACATGGACTCTGTAAAAATATTCCAGTCTAATCACAGATCAAAAAAAAAAAAAAAGAAATGGGCACAATCCTTTCCAACAACTGACCTGTGGCAAGTCTAATCCAAAACAGGGAAAACAGAAAACGAAAAATATAGCAAGGTGTGTCTTCTGTGTGTGTGGCTTACGTGTGCACAGTCCTTGTGCAATGACTCATAGGCGAATGTCTTGTCAACAAATAATGCATTTCTTAAAGGGAGGAAGCAGATGAGCTCATACCCAGAAGAAATACATGTAGGCACAGAAATACAGGAACATCAAACAAGACTAATTTTTCTTATTTCAGAAAAGATTCCCTTCCCAGCTTCGGTTGAGACACAGTTACAGCCATTTCAGTACTCAAATTAAATGTTGAAGTTGTACATTTAACTAAAATTTTTCAAATCTCTACTCAGATGCATTTTGTTTTTTTAAAAAGTGGCAAAGAATTTATATCTCACATTTATATTCCGTTTTCAAATATAGCCAATTATACAGGACTGAAATGTGCGGTGGCAGTTTAACATGCACTGATAGGAACTGCACAATTAGTGTGTATCATTGTGTAACACACGCCTTCCTCCACGTTGCTCTTTAATTTGACTCAAATTGGTATTTTGCCCCTCATCCATGAACAATTAAGTCTGAATGCTCTTTATGTAAAATTAACGCCATCAACACAATCATTACCCCAGCACACAAATAAATAACTGTAGTGCAGACAAAATTACCACAAAAAATACGACAGATCCTCATTGTTTATTTAAATACAGTAACAAGATGCATTGAGCATGATATGAATGCATGTGCAAAATAAACTGGTGTGTCACAATGGTGTCAGTATTGATCTTTGGGTCGTTTCTATTTTTAACCAAAGTATGTGGGATAAAGTGGCAGATATTACAGGCTTCACTATCACATAAATTCATTTGACACTAGAGTGGAAGTCTGTCATGTTGGGAAGAAACTGCAGTACCCTGCCATAGGGGTCAAACATCAGCGACTAGTTCCAATGCAGATATGATGTATCCTTATTACTTGCAACGTGACAATGATTCCTCATAAAATTCCGAATGCATTTAACATATCTGCCCAGCAACCAGGAATAGATATGCACATTCACAGCCCTGAGGCTGCAGGCATACACGTTACACATCATCACATTGACATGTGTCTAGAAAAAAAAAATCTCCAATGCATGTACATGTACATGTACATGTGCCCTCCGTTATGCACTACTGGCACAATGCAAAAAAAAATATGATCGTGTTGACTCAGTCCCCTGAATATTTAGGTTGAGCAATTTACAGCAGAGGTCTTTGGCAAGAAGTGGCATGTCATTTCTGCAGGGGCTGCATGCAGCGTGTGGCAAGCTACGGGCTACTCCTGACATCCACACCCTTTTTTACATTATCATAATAAAAATGGGATCTGGCAGGAGGCCACCAAGAGAGGGCGCTATGTCACTGAAAAGCTCCCAGCCAGTGCAGTTCTGCCATGGGTTGTGGATGCTGTCCATGTAATGAGTATGGGGAACCTTAGGCTGAAGCGTCCTGTTCAGCGTTACTTCTTCTGTTTGCGCAGCAATGTTGGAGCAACCTGATCAGCACACAGTTTGCAAGAGACTGCATTTCTTACATAAAATTCAAGAGATGATTTCATATTGTAACCTGCACAAGGTGGTCCTCATACGATATGTACAGTGCAGGTACAAAAACTGTTGCATTATTTGCTTATTGTTGGACAAGGCCGGCTTGGCCCACAATCATATTTTTTGTGAAACAGTTTTTGAGGGGGGGGGACAAATATTATCTATTGGTTTAAAATAAAATGGGTTACTTTTTAAAACATGTTTGGGTTTTCTAAGCTTACATGCTCAGGGGAAGAAGGGAAATGAAGCATTAAAAATAGATCCTATTTCTACAGAAATGAAAACTGCCTCTCTAGGGGGAGGGGGCTGAGGCCATGGCTCCAGGGTTCTCCTCACGTACAAACTTGCGTATCCGGCCCAATACGCAATTATTTCTGCCCGATATGCAAAAAAACGGGCTGTTACCCATTTTTTCATCCCCGATACGCACGATATAATTATGATCGTATGGCTCAGAATTATCTTAAATAATCTAGACGAAAAAGCAGTTAACAGTCCTGCATAGTACATGCATTGTGCACCACACGTTGGCAGCCACACTGTACATGTACATCAGCACCAAACGTTCCTCGTGGCCTGTGCCGCATGAAATCTGAACTTCCGTCATGGGCGTCGTACATGCACCCGCGCGCATATGTGTTTTATCTGTGCCATGTGCTCAATACGCTAGTGGGGCTGCATTTACGAAGGTTAAAATTTTATACTACATCATTCGCAGAACTTACAACATCGACCCCACACACGTTTTTTCTCATGGTGGCAGCCGTAGCCCTCTATAACAGTATTAATGGCATCTACGACGGGGACGATATTTCTCATTACCATTCACCGTGTGTTGTCTCGCGCACAATGGCAAAAATGGCAATCAAACTCTTTTTTTAAGCCAATAACATCAGCAGTCCGCACTGAGGGAAACCCAAAGGCTGATGAAGCAGCCACCTGCAGCATGTGCACGGAAGGCGCCGGCGAAGGAAGGTGTGATCAGCAAAAACCAAAGGTTGAAGCATGTATTCAAATTAAACCTGAATAAACGGGTGTTTAAATCATTGATTACCACAGCCACTACATGTTGTTGCATGTCTGAAACTTGAAATGACTCATTTTGTGTGCCTAAAATTAGTAGTCCAGAAAGGAAAACTGGTCATTTGTTAAAATATTGATATCCAAAATTTAAGAAAACTTATTGAATCTCCTGTTTTTTCCTGAGAAAAGGTACCACTTGAAAAGCCCAGGAAATGCTCTAAAATGCAGCTGAGAGCATCTAAAGTCCACAAATTTTCGGGCCCTTGGGTGGGCCCCGAACCCCACACCATGGCTTCGCAAATTGTTGATAAACCACAATGGAAATCCCCCCCCCAGTTTTGAAAAATCCTGGGGAGAACCCTGGGCTCCAATTGTAACCCCCTTCCCCCATTCATCAATTTTTATTTTTACAAAGTTGTAAACCGGTCTGATGTAGATATGGCCATTGTCATTTAATGTATGGAAGGTCACCCACATTACACTCAACTACTCCTAGCTTGACTTGCTAAATTCACGGTGTGAACTGTCCCAACGAGAAAGGGTAAGAAACTCAGAGCCTATTCATCTTCTTCATCCTAACAAAGATTAGCATTCTGAATGATATTTCATTAGGTCGTACAAAACGACTGCACTTAATGAAAACACAGCCTGCTCATTATACCAACCAAACTCAAGGTTTTCAAAACAATGAACAGAGCAGAAAAAAAAGATTTTATTCCTGTTGGTCAACGAAAATGGTTGGTGCCGGCTTGGTCAGTTTATACAAAGATCCTAATGTACTCCGTGGGGATCTGACGATTGTAAACAATTCGTGCCAGAGTATGTGTAAACTTGAAACGATATTCCTTCACAGCAACACAGAGGTCTTGTACATACACATTCTGGCAATTAGTAAGTGACGTGCACGCACGCCCTCAGGCTGCAGCATGCCTCACTGGTCTCGTACACACACACAGAGGTGATTCCATACCAAAACATACAGGCTCAGGGTACCCCCAATGTCAACCAATTAATTTGCCTGAAAAATTCCTAAAAACAAGGGCCGACGTTTCGATCCTAGCAGGCGTTTTAAACTAACGAAAAAAAAACTAAACGTACCTGGAGGTTTTCAGAGAAGAAGAGACTCTTGAGAATCTGGTTGTTGCGCCTGTGCTTAGCCTTGGTCTCCAAGACTCCTTCCAGGAAGCCGCAGACGTCTGACACCTGAATAGTCTCAGGTAACATCTCCAGAGCCTGTGAATGCGAACGTCAAAAACAGTTTGTAGGTTTTGTGGGGTTTATTATTAACTGGTTTGTGTGTGCATCCAAAAATACGAGTCTGTTAATTTTTAATTTTTTTTTTAAACCGCTGCGGAAGTTGACTCATTGTGATTTATATTAAAACTAATTCAATTAAGAATGGCTATGGACTGTAGTAAGGCTACTGCGATGTGGTATTCATTTCCAAAACGAGGATCCGCTCTCCTCAGATTTACTCTTTCAGCCAAAGAGAGTTTATCTTGTATGGTTACCAACTGTCAAACCATGCAGCAGGACCAATCAGGTTTATACACAGTAATGAAAGAGACGAATAAAGAAATCGGCTTTAGTAGTACACATGTATGTGAACCCCTGACCTCCGGAACACAGTGCCGGCTGTCTTCCAACTGACCTATGTAGCCCCATGCTTTTGGTTCCTTGCAATTTGTGAATATCTTTGTTCAAGGGAGCTAGTGAGAAGCCACTAGGCATGGCTAAACCCCACTCCAGTCAATTTCTTTGCTCAGCTTTGTAAAAGTGTTTCGGCAATAGCAACAATGAGTCAGAAACAAGCATTTTTCTATGGCTAACAGCAGTGTGTGAACGACAATGAAATTCAAACCTCTGCTAAGATTTGGCATGCCTATGTAACTAACCTTTTATTTACGGAGAGAATTCAATGCTTGACATATTTGGCCCTCAGACTGAAGAGTCACTGAGGTGTAGACAGATATCAACATGTAAATTTTTTACCAGTGAGACAAACTCTTTCCAATAAACTTGCCAACTTTTAATGGTGGTTACTAACATATGTCAATGACAAAAAGCTCTTGTTTTGTCTGGGTTTGGTCCGTTTCTTTGAGTCCTCTATCTGTCCCCCCCCAAAAAAAGAATCTGATCTAAGCAACACCCACCCTAGCTGTGTCAACTTTGTCATGATGGAATTGTAGGACTTCCAGGGCAGCTTTAATGTTGGGTTTGGAGGGTTCGATACTGGCCATGATCCGCAGGGAGCTTGCGTCAGGTGGTTTGATGTAAGTCTTGAAGAGCGACAGGTACACCTGCAATCACAATGTTTACAAATCATCAGCGTGCTTCGTTGTTTCATCTGCCCTGCACCGAAGTACCCCCTCTCACTGGCTAGTGGGAACTTTTTTTCAACTTGGTGCTTTAAGCACCTGCGAAGACCATACACTCCAACCAAAATTGCTTGCACACGCATAGTGTGCCCTGTACTAAGCATGTAAGTACCTGTGGGTAGGCCTATCCCCACGTTTTTTAAGGGACAGTTTCTTTTCAGAGCGTCAGAACTGAGCTGTGAAAACACACCCCATCTACGGTTCGCACAAGGAGCCACGACAATCTGATCTGTGTTGCCAGTCAAAGACCTAAAGCTGGGTTATTACCAACAGTTATTTAACAATTGCTGACTGCTGTGATGTGGGATATATGGCTTTTTGAACACCTGAAGGATGCACAGCCCCATCGGCTTCGCCCCAGGGTGCTATGCGTCCCTCGGGTGTTCAAAACATCATATCCCACGTCACAGCAGTCAACAATTGTTTTGTCATACCTCTGTCTTAATTGTGTTGAGGCTGAAGAATTTATCAAAAGAAACGACCTCTGAATCTCAGAAATTCAGAAGACGACTACAGGCCTACTGTGAAACATAACAGACGTAAACGATATTGTCTGCAAATGCAACGTTCCCTCACTTTCTTTAATTGCGTTAACTTTAATGTGAAAGTAGTGCGGGTACCAGTGGGTACAAATTCACAAGTCATGTAGTCCGGTTTGTGGTCCCTGCATTACCTTATAAGCTGTGAGGGCAGGAATGAGTCTGTTATACGAGTGCGACCATTGATCGAATTCCCCAGTAACTTATGCACATTTCCTGAAGCTCTTCTTGTTTCGTGCATGTGCATGTACTATTGGCAGAATGAGATGTCTCCTGGTGAGTGTGATACACAGATATATCGCCCTGTCATGTGATCGTTCTGGGCCAATGAACAGACAAGTGTCCAACACAGAGGTATGACAATTGACTGAATTCAATCCCTTATTCGATCCAATATTCAAATAATCACTTAAATTAAATTCCCACAAAAGCAGTAACAAAATCTACGTGGTTTTACAAGAAGTTACGAACAGAACAACTTGAAGGAAAAAATTTTGGCTTATTCTTGAGCATATGTATTCAGTTCCTTTTAAGTTTGTTTACAACACCATAAAACATACCACAATCATGTATAGATCATATATATCTACAAAATTTGGAAATTGTGGCCACGTAAAAGTAGCTGGCACTGGTTTTTGGAATTAAGATATTTAGACTGGAAGAGGAGACTAAGTTGAAGCTGTAGAATGACAGATTAACAATTGAGCCTGGAGACTATCTACCCTGAGTTGAAGTGTACCCTCAACGGCGAAAGAAAGACAGACGGTACTAAGTTTTCCGACCGAGTTCTTGCACACGTTTGTCATGCGCGCAAAGTCTGTACATTACAGCATTCCATTCCAGTCAGTGCATAAACTTGCGCACATATGCCGGGAGTTAGTACCAAAGGACTGTCAATTTCATTTCAAAACGCACCCTCTGTTGTTCCCGCTCGGAGCGGATAGACCGACGAGGAAGAAGCACCCACGTACCACGGATCAACGTGAAAGTCACATATCTACAATGACAATGTTTCTTATTCTGCTTACATCTTTATTTGTCTGTGGATCCCTTGCGTAATTCCTCCGACAATACTCTTCCGCTCTCCTGGTGTCCTTCAGGACGTGAGCATAGATGGCCAAGGCCTGCTCATGACGGCCTAGCCTGCCTAGAAGGAGGGCTCTCTCCTCATAGAATCCTACACAGATGGACGAGACCAACGATGAAATTGCGCAAGCGCAAATCGAAACATGTTACAGCATCCATGTAGTACGTGCATTGTTGGCAGATCCAAAGCACTCCAATACAAGCTAATTTCTATTGTTTCATTGACAAGATTAAAGGAGGGTACATTTAAACAACTGTTGTATGCATTGTAAGTCACAATATTTCTATCAACAATTCTTCTAAATGAAGCTGGAAACAGAACTTTGAAACAAATCTGTTCTTCTCAGTAACACTGATATTTAGATAACCTGTCTTTTCCTGACAAATCGATGAAAATTGATGATTACTGCCTGCCATATGTACATGTAGGTATACCATGACCCTGCCTATAAGTATTCATTGCAATTCTATCAAACTGTGGAAACAAACTTCTAGTTCTCCTAAACTTTGACATCAAAGTTGTTTTTCTTTCCTTCTCTCTTTTACGGTCACTTTGCGGCAGAGAAAAAGGTAAAAAAAAAAAAAAATTAAACCTGTGACTCACCGTCAAAGGGAAAATGTGTGAGAAGTCTTTCCGGAATGTAAGAAGATGACGTCTCCAGGAAAAACAGCAATTTCCTCCTCAGTTCGCCAAACTCCCCCGGCTCGGTGCCTGCTCTCGGGGGAAGCTGACCTGAAAAATGGAGCCCACACAGGTGGGGAACCAGTAAGGAGCCACACATTAATCACTGTTTGAAAACAAAACTGGACAAACTATTACCTCACACATACATAGCTTTAAACTAACAAGATAGAGCTGTTATTGGTGCGGCCAAAACAAGGATAAGTACAAATCAACTTGTGTGTTGCCAGAATCCAAATATTTCATCATTTTTGTTCCAGGGGTGCTTGATAGAAGAATTGGCAAAACGATATGAAATGCAGCCTACATAGACCATACTCATTTTTGTCTAATAATGGTCTACGTTCCTGCAGTTGTGGATTGGCCACTCCTCAGTGGATTCTCCAGCGTGTGGATTTTTTTAGGGCTAAAATAAATGAATCCCTAACTATAAGTATGCACAGGTGTATATATTGTAACTACATATGTTAAGAGCATATGCAAGTAAACGGATGAAACGTACTGAAACTGTCTTTCACTTCCCCTCTAGTAGTACTCACAGTTAAACCTGAATTGTTTTTTTTTCCTTTTAACCCACCTTCGGGCAAGGTGTGAAGGTAATCCGCCATCTTCTCCTGCACCATCTCCCTGTAGAGGTGGATCAGTCGATTGTGGAATTCAGGGGTGGTGTCCCCGCAGGTCAGGATGACGTGCTCCAGGTAGGGCACCGTCAGTCTCTTGACCACGGTCATCAGGTAGTCCAGGACACGGATTCGGGGCAGGCTCTCCACCTCAGGAATGTCCTCTGTGAAGATCTGCATTACAGCAAGAGGTAAAGGATGGGGTTTATCTTGTTCATCTTTCAGAAATGCATTGCAAGCCCATCAATTACTACTTTGGCTATATGACTTTCGCTTCCCCACTAAATCTGTCCCAGAAACCGCTTTGGGGGCGATCAAAAATTATTAGTGTTGTTAAAATTTGATTTTTGTTTCATAATGAAAAACAACTGAGGATCAAAACTCATTTGGGGGTTAAAAGAAAAAACTCAATTCTTCTCTGCGGTTGTTTTTGCTTGGTGGACCCTGGTAATTGCACAGCAAGTCAATTTTTAACAACAAAAATTGGCATGGGTAGGTAAAAAAGAAATTTGGAACCAAAATTGAAATTTCAAAACACTCCCTTACTTCTACTTGTTATTTTGTATTTGCCCTGCCGTTTTGTTAGAGTTATTCCTGATTGGGAGTGATAACTTATTTTAAATCATTCGCTTCAGCTAACATGAGTAGCAAGGACAAAAAGTCTCTCCCCTTCTCACCTTAAGTCCATCCTCCGGGTGGGCCTTCAGGACCCATTTGGCGTATTCACAGATGGTGTCCATGTGTTCGTGGCCAAGCCTCTGGAGGTAAGCCACCGTTCTCTCGTGACCCTTCAGGGGGCTGTTGGGCTTCTGCGACTGTCTGAGCAACAAGTCCAAGGCTGGGAGATGTGGGGGAGGAAGGGAAAAGATGGAGAAAGAAACGGGAGGTCCAATAATGTCAAAGGTCAAAGAACGGGCATCTTGTAAAACATGCCGCGACAGCCTGAATGAAGTCTGGCTCTTACTTCATGAGACAGCGGAAGCCATGTCACAGACACCATACAGCAACATTTGCCTGTGATCATGTCAAATTGTGCATGTCACACAATGTGCACATGTTTCTGTCTGCTTTCCTGCGTTGCTTTCACATCAGCTGTAAACATGACGAAGGTACTGTGCATGCTTATCACAACACCAAGTAAGTTATTCACGTTCTGCTAGTATGCGAGAGCAGTTTGCTCATTTCTACTCGGGAATCCATCCCTACCTGGGAAAGTGGGTTTAGCTGTATGGTGAGCAGAAGTGACATAGGCATGTTCCCTCTCCCATTATATGCGGGACATTAGAGTTAGGACAGGAACCAGTCTACAAATGATAGAACTTTCCAAGTTTGTCTGCTACAGAATTCCCATTTGTTGCAGACTTTTGAGTTTGGAGTTAATTACAAGTCAATCTTGATTGACACAATAGGGAACAAAACTTGATACAGTTCTGGAAGTGGTACTTTACCTTTTCTGTGAAGTCCTCTCTTCTCGTAGAGTATAATGAGCTCCCCATATTTCTGGTGCTTCTTCAAGACACGTTCACTTTCCTCCAGGTGACAATTGTTGTCTTTGAGTCTGAGGAGTGGCGCAACCAGGGCATCGTTCGTCTGTTTCGAAACGTGGGGGGAAATGCTCCTTCAAGGATAGGATTACATTGGTGCAAGGATGCAACATGACGTCCCAATTTCAATGAATGGGTTTGGTGATATGAAACTTATCCCAAGTGACGAGGATAGACAAATGGCAGATGCTGTGAGCAATGTATGATATATGTGACCTGCTCTGTAAAAATGGGTCATAAGTCGCCAGAGCCACGTTTTGAGTTTTTATTTGTATTGAAAAGAGCGAATCAAGCTTTTTGTTTTGATGTATCACTCAGTTTGGCATCCTGATGAAAGTGGATACTCCATGGTGACAAATGCTGTTGCTTCCTGTTGATTTACACTGTGCAAAAATTTACTTTTTACTCCATAGTGGCTCTGCCGACTTGTGACTCATTTTCACAGAGTGGGTCACATATGTGAGCATTCAAGCTTGATATGAACCTGAGCGTTAGCCAGAAAGTCACCTAAGAAATTGTGACGTCATTTGAGCCAAAAGCTGCTTTCCGCTGTTGAGCGGTTAATAAATGTCTGTTAATCATACTACATCAGCTGACCATATCAGCTGACCAGTTTCAGGCAACCTCCATCAAAGCAAGGGAAGAGCGATTCAGACCTAGGAAATATGATTTTTTTTTCCCCCAGCTTTATAAGCTTTTTATAAGCCTAACCATTGTGGTTGATAAGCACATCATGGTATGTCCCTACATTGATTATGTACCATGTTTTCCCTTAAACATCATTGAGCTTGCAGCCACAAGTCAATATAAGACATGGCTGCTGATTTGTCAAATTCTAGTCATGCATAAGTAATCAGCAAATGTGCACAGACATCATAGAAACTCGGCTGCAATTGAACGTCTATTCCATAGACCGGGAGAACCCTTACATTTTCATAATTCTTCCTCCACCACTGGGCCTAAGCCAAAATCCCAAGAGCACGAGTCTGTCCTACCTGCAGGTAGCACTTGAGCAGCGTGGTGTCAATGATCAGGCTCATCTGCTTCCGGGAGGTGACGGTGGCGCAGCCCTCTACGATGGTGGAGGGCTGGTTCAGCTCCTTGCCCGACGCCTTCATCAGGTCCTGCCGCTTCTGGGTCAGGTACTCGATCAGGGCCGTCAGCCCCTTCTCCATGGCCTGGCCCGTCAGCTCCGTGGGGTTGCTGGGGTACTCCAGCTTACTGCGGTACTCCTTGGGGAGAAGGTCGGGAAAGAGGCCTATCACCTGGGAGGGGTCTGCCAGAGAAAATGTAGGAACAGGTGAAAGTGATATAGATGAATTATGGCAAGGCAGGTTACAGGAGAGGTTCGTGGTGAGCCAAATATCTCTACTGACTGAACAACTGGCTTTCTCAAACTGTTGGACAGACCGGTCAGCTGGAAACATCCGTCAATCAGCTGATACAGTGACCATTATTTCAGCAACGTTTTAAGAGACAGCATCAGTGGTGGCAGCATGCCTTGAAGAATTCTCTGCAGTACATGTAAATCCAGTTGGAGAAATGTCGTGCAACACAAATACATCCTGACCAACAAGAAGCATCAGGAGTGCCTTGTGTTGCACACTGTGCAACAGGAGTCAATCATACTGTACAAAGTACAGCGTGAGTTGGAGAAATGTCGTGCAACGCAAATACATCCTGACGAACAAGAAGCATCAGGAGTGCCTTGTGTTGCACACTGTGAAACAGGAGTCAATCATACTGTACAAAGTACAGCGTGAGTCCACTGCATGTGCAAGGTGCAACACAAGTGAATGAAGTGCAACACGGGCAAATATTTCTATTCTCTGCCAGTACTTAATATACCCCATCTGTTGAGAAAGCAGCCTTTGTTGGTAAAGGTTACAAGCAGAAAGAGTGTGAAGCAATTCCTATGCAATTACAAACCAAGTCAATGGTGGAGGGCACTGTGTCAGGTTTCATAAAGAAAGATTGCTCACAAAATTTTCTGCATAACAACGGTTAGCACACTGCCTATTGCCACTGCAGGGCATCATTGGAAATGTCAAGGAATAGGGTAACCATGGCAACCTTTGGTTTAGCTACCTGTTCCTAATTTAGAAAACATCTTCATGGATTCTTCAAAGCGGTGCTGCTGGAACAATTCAAAGGCATACAGGTTCTGGATGTGCTGAATTCGTCTCTGCTTGTCTGCTTCAACTTCATCTGTCATGTTCTGTGACAACGAAAGAAGAGATATTGTAGGTGGCCCCATTGAAAGAGTGCAGCTTTCTTTGTCTGGACGTTTTTCAAAGAAAGCTTTCAATGAAAAGGTCATTTTTTTAAGCAGTGCTTAACCTTAATTCACAAAAACCAACAAGATTCCTTGTGATTTTCACAGCTCCTGGTGGGTGATTAATAACAATAAGAAGCAAAGCTGCTCTCACTTGGCCAGAGAGACATTAATGTGTTTATGCTTTTGAGTGCCCACAAATAGTTTGATTTTGGTGTCACTATTTTAAAAACAATTTCTGCCTTTGAAGACAGCAGTCTTCACTGTTGCTGTTGGGCTGTGGTATTCCTGTTTCAATTCCCCGTTGGAGCATGGTGGAGACTAGGTTGAATGGAATTGGACTTTACCCTTACACTCAATCTTATCCCACACTCTGGCAGTCTAAATCTCCCTGTTACAAAAATCCGGACTTTACTGACCAAGGTTTTTCTAACACAAAAGGAAAGTCCAAAAAAGCTAGAGAGGGCAAAATTACGCGACTCCACTATATTAAAATTAAGGTTTCAAATCAATAGCAAAAAACCCTGAAAATTTCATTCTTGTCCAGTCAGAGGGAGGTCCCAACAGACCCGGTAAAGATGGTGATATACTATGTACTTCCCATTACAATTGCTCACTTCAAGCACAATGAAAATGCAGCATTGACAATAACATTATGTCCTGAAGGAAACACCATGTGTCATATACCGAGGGGACTGCCTCTGCATGATAACATTTCTTCATGCTAAATCACTACAAACACCACTCTAAGTACGCAACTTGAATGCAACATTTTCAAAGCACATTAGACTCCAGTTATTTGCCATTTGGGATATTCTTTGTGTCTGGTGTTTGTTTTGTGCTGTTTGTGATTACATGTGGTCATAATCACAGCGAAGTTCTCCTTGTATCCTGCTTTGATTAAAAACACACTCACACAAGTGTGTATTTGCCTCCAACTGGGGACCCCCTATTGTTCCTCTTTTGTTTGTACTTTAACTTTTTTAGAAGACCCTCTTTAGGGACCCTCTGTCAATCGGGAACCTTATTGTCCTCTATTGTTCAGGGTCCCCAATTGAATGCAGAAACAAACTCTTGTCCAACGCAAACAGTTGAGGCAACTCACGGCTAAATGCAAGGCAAGTTCAAACTGCTTGTCGGCGAGAAGTGCCTTGATTTGTGTGGTGATGGGGATGGGTACCAGTCTCCATATGTAATGTTGGGATGCCACGTACACATGACCACTGGGGTAAAAAAAAACAAAGACAGAGAGTTGAAATAAGTCAACCAGAACATTGAGAATCTTTACATTTAAATAATATTACTATATTCACGATTGTAAGTCGTACATGGATTTTGACCACGGATAGAATAATTGAACTTGTGACCAAAACCTGTAAGGTTTGGTGAAATGCAGCTGAAAAAGAACAGGTTTTTAGCAATAGTGTTAATAGGATATCATCAAATATCAATATATATTGAGACACCTTTGTTAAGAAAAATATACACTTTGACAGGGGAACATGTATCAAATCTGATGCTATTCCTCTTGCTTTGCACCGCAGTTTGAAATCATCCAAAAGATCCATGGACTACTACATCTTGCCAGGTACCTTATAATCTTATTGTCAGTTCTTTACTTTGTGATGATTTACTACTTGCACTGACTTTTCTGTCTTGTTATTCAGAGGTTGGTAGAACATAGAAATATGTAAATGAGTCTATGTTCCATGAGTGAAATGAGTGAAGGCAGACTGGCATGGCAAACTTATGTCAAGATATTCCCAGTTTCTGCTCAGAAAGCACGGTTTGGAACAGTTCTCAGTCAACTTGCCCATCCCCAAGAGTGACAACATGTGTTTGAGCCACTGTGCCTCTGTGGCCTTAAGCTGAATAGCACTGATTCATGTATAAAGCCAAAACCGAAAGAAGTAACATTATGAATAGCATCACATCTTGAATCAATGGTATTAATTTTCAGATTTGTGTTGGGAATGTTAAGTTTTAACACCAGTTTTGCCCTCACATAAACGTATATATTCACAATGTATTCTCTCAGTTGTGGTCCATGAGTGGTAACAACATCACAAGCTTCCTCAGGAGGGATTTGAACCCACGACTTCCTGCTTACAATGGCAAATATCTTACCACTTGACCGCCGAGTTGCCCGGATTGGGTGATTGGTTCCAATCCCACTGCTGCATTGATTCAAGCAGGATTTGTTTTTTTTAGATCTCAGATCACACTGAGAATACAGCATGGACATATACACCAGTTTAAAGGTAAAAAATAATCAAATCTTGGCCATGAGTGACCACAATGAGGATAATGAGCTCCCAGGATGCAGCAGCGAGGATCTGCTCCATTCACCTTCCTATGGTGATGGAGCGCGGCTTGTTGAGCTCGATGGTCTGTACCAGCAGGCGGGGGTCCACGGTTCGAATCTCCACGTACTTAGGCAGCACAGCTATGATGTAGGGCTGGTCATGCTCTGTGGAAATGAGCAGAGATTTTATCCCAAAGGTCATGCCAGTGTTGTATTCGAGTCCATCTCAAGTCACTGCAAGTCCATCACAAGTCATCCAGTCTTAAGCCAATTCACAAGCTATTCAAATGAGCTGTGACAAAAGCATTCCCTTGTCATTGTTCACCCTGTGACTTTGGACTGGCCTTGTGAAAGGACTTGTGATGGACTCGACTACAACACTGGGGCATGCTACAACCAAAAACATGCTGGCCTACTATGCACTGTCCTGATCTGTCTAATTTCTCCCACTTTCAGATTGCTTGACGTGCTTGATATCAGAAAGTCTCCAATGCATCCTTCTGGCTAGTTTCAGGCTATAAGTACATACAATTAATAATTGCACTTAAAAAACAAAAGAAATCTATTAAAACAAATCTTTCCTCGTTTCATTAAGAAATTGGAAGTTCAAATGTTACATTCTATCATACAGTTCAAGATGAATTGGTTATAAAAATGAAACCGATATATGTGAATGTTGTTTTGAACCAAAAAAATGACATTTGCATGGGAAAAGAAGGTTATTGAGCCCTGGACACTTAGTATGGTATGTTAATGTATGTGTGGTTATTAAGAGGTTGAGCTGACTGGAGTCCACAGCCCAGTGTATTTTTACAATCTATTTCTATTTTAAGGCACGGAGAGAACAAACCAGTCTCAAGACAGAAGTCCCGCGAGCAGCCAGGATACCAAATGAAATTCATCACCTGCTCTTTTCTGCAGTCTGATCAACTTTTTGGCTCTGACAAATCTGATGCATCTATTGCAGTGTGGGGTCTTGTAAACAGCTTGTGCATGCACTACCTACCAAGCACTATTGGGAAATCTGACCACGTGAGGGCGTACTTCTTGGCAGGCTGTCCCTCCGAGTCGATGATGATGCTCATCATGTCTCGTCCCAGTGCCAACATGTCTTCTGACAGTCTGGTGACCGTGGGCTCGGCCTGCGTGGCATTGCCCGTAGTGAAAAGGTCTTTGAGTTCACCATTGTCAACCTGAACGAAAAAATAAAGAAAACAAACTGTTGTGAATTTGAACTGGAAACATCAATACAAGGATTAAATGTGGGCCAAAATCCACTACTGGACAACGCCATTTCATGCAACATCTTGGAAAACCCTGGGCCTGATTCTGATGATCGCAAACAGCTGATTCCAACACACCAACACCAAGGTCTTCATGTATTGAAAGAACGACTTTGGTAATATACGTATAACCGACAACAGTGCGCTTTATTTGCATTAACTACATATATTTTTTTCTCACATAGTAGTTTTGAATTAACTTCAGGGAGTCAGGTTGGCGTAGTGGTTCTTTCCTCGCCTTCCACCTCTAAGGCACGGGTTCAAATCCCGGCCCGGTCCACATGTGGATTGGGTTTTCAGTCCCTACCTGATTCCGTGGGTTTTACCCAGAATATTCCTCTGGGGTTTTCCTCCCACCTCTAAAACTGTAACTGCTTCTCCTTGTCTCCTCTCTACAGGTTTCTTCAGGCTTGCAAGCTACAGTGCCTAGGGTGCTTTTGAGGAATCCTTGGTGTCATTACCAGAAATATATCCTAATAATAATAACTTCATTTTAATTATGCAATGTAACCATTGTGCAATTCAGCCATTAGGCTTTGAAACCCTGGATCAATAAAACAGATAAAATAGCAGTAGTAACGTTTGTTAGGAAAAGTCAATTCCATTCTCCCATGACAACTGCCAATCACTCTGCAGCATCTTATTTTGCGCAGATGTACCGGGTACGTGTTAGCCCACTGGCACGGAAAATACAATTCCTGGTAGGTTGTGGCATGTGCTTTACTTGGAAGGAATAGGCCTGGTGCACACTTTTTCTTTGACAAGGGAGTCAACCACTGTGTGCAAGCATTGACATGGATGAGCATGGTTCGCTGTGTCCTCAGTGGGCTCAGGCAAGTAGGTCACACTGTAAATGTTTCACCTTCAAATGTTTTTGCGGCAGACGGAGAAGGAGGCCACGAAAATGACGTGCATCATATGCATATTATGCTCAGGACGCATAAGGTACGTACTGTACACTTTCTGAGTATAATATGCATGCGACGCTTGTCATTCTGTGTGGGCTCCTTTTCCGTCTACCTGTTTTTGCACACACCTTGTAGGTCCAGAGCATGTAGAACAAGTCACGAATGTGCATTTTACGCAAAAGAATTTTTAAAATATGCTCACAGAAATTGCTTGTCTTCTGGCTAGTGAGAGTAAGTCTAAATGGTGCATTCGACTACTTGGATGCCCAGGTACTGCTGGCTTTCTCAATTGCATACACGTATGATTACTGTTCTCTAATTTGAACCATGACATAACATCACATTCTGGGCACGTGTTTCTCCTGCATGGTCACTATCCCAGCCCCATTTTGCTAACGGACTGCACTCAATATTATTTTCTCACCCTAATCAGGAAGTAATCCCTTTTGAAGCCGACACACAGGGAGCTGCCGCACCAGGCCATGGCCTTGGGGACATCGGGAACACCCAGCTCAGCCTACCACAGGACAATCACAAATCTTTGTTATTTCCACAGAGCCGTGTCAAATTTCTGGGGGGGGTGCTGACTCATCGTTTCCTGTGCAAAGCTGGACGTCTCCTGCATGCAGATATTTTGACCTCCAACACACATTTGTAGGAGTAGCATGTAATGAAAGACAGTAGAACAACTTCCACATTATGCAATCTGAATGCGACACGCAAGAGCAACATGTGCAAATCGCATGTACGCCCATCACAGCAGCATGACACATTAAACTGCCTCAGCCAAATTCATCTACAGCACAATGAACACACTTTGCATTGCTCACACCTTGCAAAATTAAACGCTTCTTCACTGACTGTACATGTACATTATGTATGTTTAGGTCTGTGGTATAGTGGCTCTGATGAAGCATTGTTGCAGCTTACAGATTCAGACATGCGAATAGCCGTACAAAATTCATTCAGAACTTTGAATTCTCCTCAGGTTTGTGCAGAAGCATGGCACTTTCCAATGCAAGTTAGCATTCTGGAAATTTAGTATCAATATAGCTCAATGGTTAATCACAGCATATCTTGAACCTGTACAGTAAAGCCACTGGAAGGCCAATTCTGAATGTTATGGCTTTGGCTAGAGAGGACACATGCAATAAGGCAATAGCATCCACGAGCTAGCACCGGCTTGAGCCCAGCCGATTTGAACAGAGCCTGATTCTGCTCTGCGTTCAAATCTGTGCAGCATGGTGTTCTCTTTAGTCAACATATACTAGCTTCACTTCATAAATCCACATTTTGATGTCACATTATTCCAAGTACCGTACATTTCATTCCATGCCGTCTTTTGACTACACATGTGGTTCATCATCAGGAACAACGCATTAGTCGGGCAATACTTTCATTTGGGACATTTTAACTGCAGAGTTTTCTCAAATTGCATTTGATCAATATTTCTGCTTCCATGAATGGCTTAAACAATAAAACATGCAAACTTTTCAATGCATATACAAAACTTCCCACAAGTTAAGATAACTTACATGTATCTTATTCAGTCAATGGTACAAGATAGTAATATGGATGAGTAAAAGCCTTGCTTATGAAACATTACACTAATGTGGCACAGCCTTTCATTCCCTATCATCGTAACTTCCTCCATTACCTTGACATCTTCAAAGGACCTATTCTTCCAGTAGAAGAGTTGCAGTTTCCTCTTGACAGCGACGCACAGACGGAGATTGTAGGTAGAACTGCCGCTCTCTGTGGTCAGTTTCTGGAGGAAGGGGAAAGATGACTTGCATGTCCTGTGTCCATCTCAAGCCAGAAGATGGAAGTGGCATGTATCTGAACATTTTAAGCAAACTTTAATTCTGATTGGTCGATCTATGGCAACGAACAGTGTGACACGTATTGCAACGTTCACTGCCCTATTTTTATGCTAAAAACAAAACAACACAGCTGCAAAGTTGACTGTAAATTCAAACCATAGCATCTTTACTATGAATCAAGTTTGGTTAAAGATAAATTAGTTACCATACTCGCACTAGTGTGATAACGCCGTATTGATAATTGATGAATATATGAATGTGCGCACACCAGATATATACAGTTCCTGCCGGTATTGTATCAATAATGTAGAAAAACATAGAGGCATGGGCCCTTTTCCAACACTCGACTTGGGCTCCGTCTCAGGCTTCGTTCCCAAAACCAATCCCCGATTGTGGGCCTGAAGCGTTTACATTAAATTGGATTACTGTAATTTCTGGCTCTCTTACACCTTATTTGATGTTTTGTGGCACTATTAAACTAATTACTGCACTTACAGCTTCAACGTCAGCTAGTTAAAAACAGTTGAAGCCTGAGACGGAGCCGAAGTTGAGTATTGGAAAACGGCCGTGATAAACACTGTGCCCGTTGCAGAAGTATCACATGTACACGTTGATGTATGCCAAATAACGCTGTCTCTGTCTCTCTCGTTTGCCACAGCACACACAGCCATGCCCAGATCAAGGCTGTCATGTGTACATGTAAGCTAACTGAACGCAACTGAGTAACTATCTTAACTAGGCCATGCATGTATTTGCTACCAAACAGAGGAAATGCAGCATGAAGTATACTGTAGGTATGCAGATTGAGGAGATACGATGCCTCTGTAATCTATGAACCTCTTGATTGCTCCAGGCACACAAGCCCTCCCTTGAGAAACCCAAACTTTTGATATTAAGGGGAAAACACATCGGAAATGAAGTCCACAGTTGTGACACCAACCTGCAGGTCGATGGCAAAGAGAGTGGCCCCTTTGGTCTTGGCTATGCTGGTGATCTGTGAGAAGTGATTCAGGTCGTGCACGTTGATGACAGCATCTGCAATTCAGGATGGGGAAAAGGGTGACAAAAATCAGCTTAAGGCAGGACAAAACCAAACGTCATTATCCTGAAAAATGTTGACACTTAAAATTCTGGTTTACCCTGTCTTCGTTCAAGGCTACATTTCTGCCCAGAAGTACAAAAGGATTCAGGTGGAAGAATGTACAGGTACATGTATCGAAAAATCACTATTTCTTTCACTGTTCAACTTCATTTTCAGAATGCAATTTTTGAATCATCAAATTACAGGTTCACTCAGACCAAGGTAAAACTTGCAAAGGCAAACCCTCCCCCATTAAATCAGAATTCTGTGCCACTTTACAATACGTCAATGTCACGGTTGACACGTGTAACATGGTTTAAACTTGAAATGGTTAATTTCACAAACAAGTTGCCTTTTAAACAGCCGTAAGAAAAACGTCGTTTTGTATGTACATGTGCTAGTATGTTTATATGGTGATCAACAACATCTAACTGGTGGGCATACATGTACATGTTGTTTGCCAAACTACTCCCAATTTCTCAAACCCTAAAACCACGTTCCAACCATTCAATGTTTCACAATCACTACATCCTGTCGGTTACTCAGTCACCTGGGCCATCAACACAATCTCTTGCATCTGCCACGTAAAGTAGTCTTTAAAATGCAAAGAGCAACCATATCCTACCCTTTGAGTGATTGTGAGGTGCGTTCATTTTTGTCCAATTTTTGTTTACCCTGGATTGCTGATCAACTACTGTAAATTCCACAAAATAAAAAAGAAAACCCTAACCATGCTGAACCCAACAAGGTTATGCAGGATTTCAATGGTCCCTTGGGGTTGTATTACAAGTTTTTTATCAGCAGTCATCAACGGTGCAGACATTTAAAAAATCTTTTAAATTCAATTCGGTCATGATTTCTTTGGGGCAGACAACCACTTTGAGTTTAGACTTACATTTGTACCCTATGTTTCATTCGTATCATCTGTTAAATGTTTTGATATGCATACTTACAATCTGAACAACTCACCTGATAGGCTGATGAGAATTTGCAGCTCTGGAATGCATGCCAGCTGTTGAATAGGCCTTTTGGAGAAGGACTTAAAGGACTTCAGCAAGTCTACCTTAAAGCTCAGGTTCCCTGTAATGGGGCAGAAAGGACAACCCAGTACACGTCGTTACAAGTGAACTTCAATAAACTTGCTAAACATGGTGTCAAGCTCAATTGCTCAGGTGTTTAAAGGTTCAAGTTTAAGGGGTCCTTATGATGAAGAAATAGCTCTAATACTGAGGTTTCTGCCTATAAGGACCTCATTTGCTTTTAAATCAATGCATAAAACTCCTATTCGCATAAAACCCAAAAAAGGCACCAAAACAAAAATTGCAACAATCTCTATTCACAGTATTTCCGTTTCCATGTCACAATGACACCTGCCTTAAAGATCATTAAGTTCATCCTAAAAAACAGTATGGTATTATCAAACCAAGTTGCAATTCAGGATGTTTTTACCACCATCCCTGTATTTTTCTTTCACTTTTAAAGTAATCCAATATTACCAGAACCCAAGAGCTTTGGCTGACTGTTTGTTTCATGAAGAGCCAATATGGATGAATAGAACGAGAAGCAGAGAGACCTGTTGAATCTAACACGCAATACATGTCACAATGGGACTGGTGATTCAGCTTCCTGTCCCTGTTCTTATGTGGAGCATACCACAGATTTGGTTGTGCAAGTTTCATTTCCTGTACAACCACGGCAAACAATGTTTGATGTCTACAGATACATGTACATGTATGCTACAAGTGTGTGTTTAATAACATTCCTGAATCTCAGTTTTTTACATTGATGTAACATGCTAAAATATCCAATTTGGATGGCACATATGCTGAAACTTTTATATAAAACATCAACAAATAATTTACACCCCCACAATCCTGGAGCCAGAGAATACTTAGCCAAGACAGGGTACCGGCCCTAAAACTCACTGTGTGTGTTTTACTTGTCACTGGTTCACGGCTGACTTTTGTTTAGCACATAAACTTGCAAAGCAAAATAGTCTACTCAGCAGATGAACAGGAATTGGGTACCATTCTTGACAGGAATCTGATACAAAAGCATAGTGGGTTTGCCTAATTTGTATTTTTGCCTTTAATCCAATCTTCAACAGTACTGTTGGCTTGTAGCCAAATTTGCTAACAGGGGTATCCCTATCAGTAAAAAGCCAGTGGGAACAAGCAAAACTTGTCCATGAATATGGACCTGTAAACAAGCAATTACTAGTACTGTACATGTACGTGTACCACATGGTTCAAATTGTGAAGATTTAAGTACCGGTACATGTTAGTTAAAAGGTGGAAAGGTCCACCCCTCTCTGAAAACCAAACTTTAAGAGAAGCCAGAGAATTATGATTAAAAAATTCCAGTTCAACAAAGTGCAAAGAAAACAAGTTCTTTGAATCACGTTGTTCTTGTAGTAACAAAGGAAAGTCCTCACAGCTCTGAAATGTTAATGAGCGTGTACATAATCATGTTTAGATCACGCAAAAAACTATGGGTTTCGGATCAAGCCTAAGCCAACCCCCTCAACACAATCCATGTTTACATGTACTCTAAGTGTATGGCCATTTAAGCAGCAGAGTACGGAGCTCTGGAAGTGCCATGCAACATGTTGACATCCTGATGTATTGTTTCTTGGGATAACAACACGATACAGGCAAGCTGTTCACAACCTGATCTAATTTATCTCGAGATGACGACATCATAAAAGTTGGATGGCGACATCCTGGGATAATTTATCATGGGATGATGAAATCATAAAAGGGTAGATGTCACACTTGCTGGATGTTGTTGTCGTCTAAGGATGTCGTCATCCCATGATAAATTATCTCAGGATATTAACGTCTTGCCTTTATTACCGTATGTCGTCATATTGAGAAAAAATATGTCAAGATCTCAACAAGTCGGATGGCACTTCCACAGCTCCGTAGCAAATGGTTTCCAACCCTGGTTATTAAGCACACCCAGTCCCAATGCTTTTTGTAATCTATAACTCCCAACACAGTGTACAAGTACATACATCTGAAATAATCTAGTCACAGTGAAAATTTAAAGGAAACATACAATTTTCTTTCTTCCTTTGGCTCATTTTATACGCATATTTTTCCCAATATATGAAAAGCATTTGAAATCTTTTTGGAGTAAAGTGTATTTAAAGTGCAGTGTTTTGAACACTAAAAATTGTGCAAACTACTGGTATCACAGTGGGGAGTGAGACCACGGTTGCTGTGATGTACAATAAATCTGGGAAGAGATGTTCCGTTGACATGTTTTTGTATTCAAATTCTGAACCCAAATTTGGTCTTTGAAAACAGTTCTAACCTCTACCTGTATATACGGTACTTACACGACAACAATAAATTGCCCAAGAAACTGAAATTAATAAATACAAAACATAGAAAATCAAGCTGTTTTTTGTGCACAAATCAATGCAATATTGAAATTTGGTGCCGTGGATGGCATCACAATAACTTAATCAGCATAAAGCCTAAAGGCTCAAAATAGCAGACCAAAATAGCTTAACAAAAATGGAAAATAACTTTAATTAATTGAAACACAAATGTGCTATTTCAAGGGTTGTAGTGAAACTATTCTTTTGCACGGACCCTATAACATTTGTAGGAAACTGTCTACTTACCAATTCCTGCTGTAACACTGTACACCAGAAGGTGACCCTGCTTGGTTCCAACCAGTAACTGGTCCCCTGTGCGCGGTAAGAAATAGAAACAATGCTAGTTGTCAATTTTAAAAACTTCCCAATGAACTTGTGACAACCTGGAGCATGTTATTGTTAAACTACATGTACTTTGAGCTGAAGCCTGGAGGACAAACATTTTCTAGCCATCTGTATACAAAGGCGTCATGGATGATGGTACAATGTACCTCTAGAAACTACACGTAGGAGACATCCAGTGTACCTTCTAGCATTCTCTCTTTTGAGGAGGTTGAGGGTTGGCATTAATTTAGTCAGGTGTACTCACTGCATTACACATCACATGCCGAGTGCATATGAACCAGTATCCCCAAAATTTTAAAGAAATTCAGGAATAGATTGGCCATGGCTGCTACTTTGACAAAGATTTGTTAAAGAAACTAGAATTCTCGATGTACACTATGTAATCTGTACATAAACTGGATTCAAAATCCAATAGCATTACGACATCCCCCAAAATGAGAATGCCCAACTAGAAGTTGGACGACGAGACAACAGTGACATTTGTCCCATCTCACCTCTCACACACACTTGTGTTTTGCTACATGTAAGTACACATGAAATTGCACATTTACACACTGTTGTGTTTTTGAACACATTTTGTTTTGAACATATAAAGATTTGAGGGACCCTGACAGGCACTTTACTTGTGACACGGAACAGTCATCGTTCATGGCACCACCTGTGTATGAGACAAAAAAAGCCCCAAATCTGCTTTTCCCCATTGCTTAAGTAAAGTTTGTTCTCCCGTTTATGTGACTGTCTTGCTTACTGAATTAGGATAAACATTTTCCATGTCAAGCAGATAAATCACCTGTTCAACATCACTCCTGCTAACACAATGTGCACTGGTATCCGGTACATCGGCCTCATCCTCCTGACCTGCTGCCTGCACAAGATAAACATGTGCATCCCCCAACATGAAACAGCCCTCATCTTTTTTTTAGGAGCAAGGTCTGGTAAGCCACTGGGCACTGACTAGCACGTGTGCATTGAGGCCAACGAGAGCAGGGAAAAATTGACTACAGTTTGAAGTGGCCAAACACTTGTCTATGTTGTATTGTTTTTTCTGATGACACTGACAGAGACGATACCAGAAAACAAGTGAACCAAACATGACAAATCAATGAGTATGACAAGTATGACTCACCATGACAAGCTATAGACTCAATCTGTAAAGGAAGTTTCTCCAAGATCGGTCTTTCTTCGTAAGCATCGTGCATCGTCGGTCCTCAAATCAATCCAAACACTCATTCCTCGGAATCCAAGAGGTCTGAATACCACCCGTTTCATACAAGCTTTACAAAGGCTCATACATTATCAGACAAATCAGAAATGTAATGCCTGCATGGTTAGCATTGAACATCAGATTTCGCCCCTCAATTTTTGTGACTACAAATTACAATTGTGCAAATGCAAAGTCTGGCACTCTGTCAACAAACAATTACAAATGCAACTTCTAAGGGCTTCTTGTTTGTCTAGCTTACAGTGCCAGACTAAAATCATGTGAATCGCTGTCAACATTGGGCCAACAGAGGGGGTACTCGCTAATACTAGAGCCATTAGGTTCCAGTTTAGTGAATAAACTGCCATAGCCAACAGTGATAAATACCCGAACTTCAAAAGGCAGGAAAAATACTCGCAAGTTTCTCAGGCGTTCGAGACGCACATTAAATTAAAGCTCAGGTTATGCTTTTTCATTTTCTTTTCAAATTTCCATTCATTAACGGATGACGTTTGAAGATATTTATTTCCACGGAAGGTCACTCCTAAAATTCAATCGTGAAGCCCCTCGCCATTTTGAAATACCGATACCTAAACTTCTCGAAAGGTAGACGGTTTTCAGGCACCGATTTCTTCCAAATCTCACTCAGATGCAAGCTGGTATTCCCTTTGTCTGCCTAATTTTGTGTTTCTACAATTCTTAATGTTCTATGTCGTAGAAAATGTGAGTGCATACAAACTTTGATTTGGTCCGCGCAAGCAGTTTTTGGCCCATTTACTGCCCTGCATCCATAAGGATGCAGCCGGTAAGTAAAGTGCACAGTGATTAACCAGTTGATGCCGGATGACGTGTAAACACACCGTAATTTTCCTTATTTGTTCCACGGAGGGCGCTTGTACACTCGTTTAAGAATTTTTTCTTTTTTTTTTTTCATTTCCGCGGTTGACAAGTTAACCCGTCATACTTGGTTGGGTCAAAGCGCAATCCCAAGGTTGAAGAATTGCTGGCAAAAAAAAAAAGGCCCCTGCAGTTTTTTCGGGTAAGAAAATCTGACGTTAACTGGCTATTACCTGAACTTCAAAAATCAGGAAAAATACTCACGAGTTCCTCAGGCGTTCGAAACGCACACTCAATTAAAGCTCATTATGATTTTTCATTTTATTTTCGAATGTCTTGTCTATAACAGATGACTTCTGACGAGGTTTCTTTTCCACAGGCCACCCCTAAAAAGCAGTCGTTAAGCCCCTCGCTATTTTAAAAAATATATGCCTTGCATCGTACAGTTACTGCATTTAAAACTGAACCTATTTCAGGCACTGATTTCTTCAAACTCGCACTCAGACACAAGCTAGCATTCGTTTTGGTCGCATAAACCTGTCTTTTCAACAAATCTTGAAGTGCAGGGGCCACAACATGCTCTATTTCGTAGAGAATTTGAGTGTATGTAAATTTGTATATACAAATTGTGATTTGGCTGGTGCAAGCAGTTTTCGGCATACTTACTTGCCCCGCACCCTTATGTGTATGTGAATATGAGCAAGCGCTCAAGTTAAGACATGTGCCATGAGTCGAGTGCGACGGCCCACCAAAGGTGGATCGATTTCGAAAAGGGGGCAGTTGTTAGACCATCAGGCATCAGCCATGAATAGCTCGATCCACTAAGCCCTACCCAAATATTGGACCTGCAAAAAGTGGGGAACCAGCCCCCCCTCCTCGAAACAGTGGGGGGACATCCCCCCCCACTTCCGCCGCCAGTGCGATGGCCCCGCAGTAACATAGCGTCTCCTCGAAAGGTCGATGACAACTTCGCGCAACAAAACCAATAAACTGGTTTACTCATAAATTTGCGTTTATATTCTCTTTCACTCTAGGTATGAACCGGCCTTCATTAGGCTGACCCATTTCAGCAATATTTGCGTCCGGTTGTAACAACCTATCCATTGAAGACGTTGTCTTTGTCACAAAATATCGGGAAAATTAATTTCACTGTCTGGTCAGATGATGGTATAGATGTGGTCGAGAACGATTTAACAGATAACAGAATCAATTTTTAAAATGTCAATATTCTCATGCAGAAATTAGAGTGTCATCTCATTACTTATTTCACTTGTTTTAACTTTCAAAAGAGTTTATGCAAATGGACAATTTTTAAAGTTTCTTTTACCTAGTTAATGCATGTCTGTACTGTTAAAATGAGGCTCTATTGCGGCATTTTATTCCAAGTTAATATACGTGTAATATTCCTGAATAGAATCTTAAAAATATACATGAATCTGAGGACATGATATTATGACGAGTGTGCGATGGAGATTTAAAAATTCGGTTGAAAAATACATGTATAAATTGAAAGACATCATAATGCTTTCCCTTTGTCATATATAATTGTAATTACACATTCTTATTCGCAATTATTGAACTATGTAAAACTCCACTTCACATTAAAAGAGATTTCACAATTACCTTTGCTGAGCCAAAATAAATTCGAAGGATCAAATCTCAATTAAACATCGTTTATAGAGACGAGCCCAGCGATGTTTCATTGGGCATTTCCTTTGGTCGCCCTTCAGTATAACAGAGCGCCTGCTTTGATAGTCACCGCAGTCACAAGATTCGTCTAAGAATTCAAACTGCTGCGTACACCGTGTCGCCAACTTTGATGGATCCAAAGACTTCACAGACAAGGTTTGACCCCAACACCGGAGCGACACCTAAAGGCTTGCTATCCGGGTTAGACTTGTCTAACATGCGATACCTATGGAAAACGGAGCAAACAGACATTAAAAAAAACAAAAAATACATTCATAAATTTTAACATTAGCACACTTTAATGTATCAATTCGACTGAAGGTCTGCGTTTTACAGCTTCGTTCAGAATATTGTGAGCTGTGCCTACATAGATACTTTTTTCTTCATTTTATTTTTTTGGAAAGTCGTTCAACAGAAACAGAGGAGGAAGAGAAACTGCCCATCTTTCAGTTGCTAGAAAGTACTGTACAATTTTTCTCCATCCCACAAATGTGCACCAATGGCTTGCCCTGCTAAAGCTCGACCAAGAAACACAGAGGTAAACAAATTTCATTTACACCGGCACTAACTTTTTGAGAGTTGCCAACGGTTCACCATCACTCCTAAACGCACCCGTCTCTGGATCGACTGTCGTCAATCTGCATCTATTGTCCAATGCAAGAGAGATCTTACTTTAAAAAAGATAAAATTGATGCCCGAGAATGCCACAACAACACTTGATCAAATATTTGGGGTTTAGTGGTAAATAAACTTTGTTGACGCGTAAACAAACTTCTAATCACAAGTATACATGTATCGGCCTTGAGCGGTTGAAAGAAACCATACTGGTTGGGAGTGTTCGTTTTGCTATAGTAGCGTCGCAACCGCATTTCGTAGTCGTTTGTGAACCAGCGAAGCACAGTTCCGACCAAAGGAGCCGCCGTTGGTAGGAATATTGCGTCCTCTATTGGTCTAGCTCAGGGCTGATAGTCACATTTTATCTGTCACTTATAACACACATTCACAGTTTTATACAAATCTTCCACGCCGTATGTGGCGTCCCCCTCTCTCTCGCACTGGAGTACGCACAAATGTTTTTCTAAAATCACAAAAACTCTTTCATCATTTCACAGGGCCTGAAGCGACTGTTGGTAGAACTATTCCGAACAAAAACCAAGCGAGAGGAGTCTGGTGCAATTGAGATCATGGAACAAAAATCTGATCGCTCTGAAATTCCCTGTGGGCAAATGCTAAAAGGAGCTTTGTTTAAAAAATGACTTATCTTTGATATCACAGCTTTTTAGGTCCCACCAATATTCTTTCAACTTTTAGTTACGTATGAGGGATAATCCCTCTATAGTTTTGAAAGACTGACTGATGGTCACGCTCGTTCACTATTCCAAACGCGTCTGCACGTGTCAAGTTTGGCCGTAAATACGATCGGCTGATTTCAACTTCCCGCGGTAGTCTGCGCGTCTATGAGAACAAGAGTAAGCGAACCTACTGAATGCATTTTCGTTGGCAATAAAAAAAAAGGTAACAAATACCGGTGGCAAAGAAAGTTACAGCAAAAAGACCACTTTAAAACATAGTGCTGGTATTAGTTGACGTTTAGTAATTACTGCCAAACAAGCACCGCCGAGGCTTTCGTCGCATCATTAATACTCTCCTAAGTGAATTGTCTACCTTGAAATTACATTGTCAAATAATGAGGCGCCAGGGGGGGGGTGAACCATAAAATTGAGTGCTCATGTACCAAGCTGTTAATGTCAGGAACCGGCTTCATTAAATGGGACTGGGTAGGTACCTGTTAAAATTTTGTTTATGTTAATAGACCTTATGCGCATGACGTCACGTTAGAGGGCATTTCTTTCTTCCTCTGCGATACGCTCGAATAAATGTTTTGTGAATCACTGTAACGATATTAAAATAACAAAGAATAGCCTCCAAGACACCAGCAACACATAACCTGTATCGTCGTTATTAAGTTTATGCGAGTCGAATGTTAGAAATTCCTATACGATTACTTAAATCATTTGGCTAAATGAATGTTTCATCCAGGTAATCTTTAAAGAAAGTTCCCTGTCTACGGTTTTTCACCTCACCTTCCACACGCATGCGTCCTTCGCATGGTTACAGTGTCGCCAATCCTGACGTATTTCCACAAATCCTGTATTTGAAACAAAGCAGGACATATACAGGACTTACATTGTCCGTTGTCATTAGCCCTAGCCTAACACTGGTTTTGGGACGAAAGGGGGCGGGTATCGTTTATAACGATCCACATGTTATTCATCCGTACAAGAATGTTCAGCCACCCCCAAAGAAAGGTACCAGGGCCGCTTTTTAAGTGTTAACGCTTCTCCAAATCATTTTTTAAAAATGGCAACATCTTCCAGGTGGCCAAAAGGAGGATTGTTTTCAAATTTGGCGGCTAATTCGAAATGGCTGTTAATGTTTGTGTGGTGCTGAGCGCTGTGTTTATTGGTCCAACATCCCTATTCTGGATTGGAGTTTGGGAAGAAAGATAAATAACATAGTGCAAAAAATCTCGTTCTTTTAATTTTTAAATTTTTGTCTCTTTTTTTGGGGGGGGGCATGACACGATAGCCCCTCCCCCCACCGCAGCAAGTGGTGTGGGGCTGGCGTGGTGCCGTTCATAACAAACGACTCAATCAATCTGTAACTCAAACTGGGAGTCCAGGACAGTGGCAAAATGCTTCAATTTGAGAAGAATGGGAGCCATTTCGTGATGAAAAGTGTAGACGAAGAAATGGGAACGCATGATCTCTTTCCAACCAATGCAGAAAGTATACCTCGTCAAAGGCACTGGCCCCCGACACTACCAGGTTTGGCCGGGCATTTCTTGCGGAAATGGGCTGTTCCAGGTGGGAATTCAGGTCGTCCAAAGAAGCTTGAGTCAGCAAAAGTATCGGAGCCAGGTCTTGGTAACCCGTCTGTACGTAAAAAGTATGCACACAGCTCTTATATAGTGGATTTTATACTGAAAAAGAAACACTTAAAGGATAAACAAGGTTAATGAAGGATCATAATACACTTAAAAACAGGACAAAGTATAATGTGGAGTAATCCATCAAGAGTTCAAAGAGTGCATTTTTTTCTTAATTTAGACAAACCTTAAAGTGATACCCTGTTGTTAAGTTATAAATGTTATAAACTACATAAAGATAACTCTGCTGATAAGTTATAAATATATCGTAATGCAAATATTGGACCAAATCAACTAGAAGCGCAACGAGATTTAGAGGGCATCAGCCAAACTGACGAATATAAAAATTCGGTAATCTAAAGCCACTCCAATCATCAAAACTACCCGAAGATCCAATACAGACTTTGCGTGGTAGCCATTTTGCGGGGCAGTCGTTTTGTACCACAGGGAGCATACCCAGTGGAACAAAAGAACCGGCCTGCAAGATTGCAGCCACGCAAAACCCTCCAGAAAGACAGTTTTTCGGCGAGTTAACAAAAACACAATTAGATGCAGAATCTTTTAATATCCTATAGCGAATTATAACTGTTGATAATATTCGATTTGTGTGGTTCGTTCACCAGGCACGTAAGTCTGCACCTTACCACTTCCACCTAGAACGCACACTGTCAACAGTGAGCTTGGGCCGTTTTCCAATACTCAACTTCGTCTCCATCGCAGGCTGCGTGTAGTAAACCAATCCCCGATTGTGGGCCTGAAGCGTTTAACTGAAATTGAATTACTGTAATATTTGGCTCTTTTGCATCTTACTTGATGTTCTGTGGAACTGTCAGACTTACTATTTCTCATACAACCTCAAAGTCAGAAAGTAAAAAAACACAGTTGAAGCCTGAGACGGAGCCCAAGTCGAGTATTGGAAAACGGCCCTAAATATAGTGATGTAATTGACCTTTTACCAAGAGCGCATACGTTTCCTTTTTTGTTCTCAACAATGGTCTCTGCTCATGTCTGTAGCGATGGCAAATCAATATTTTGAGTGATTGGGAGCGCAAAAGTTTTTTTCTGGTTTAAAAACAATACCATGACTATCCAATTTTCATTCTTAAAAGAATTTACATGGTAGTACCGTTTCTACACACCCCCTGCCCTCCGCTATACGCCACTGGTCCGTCAAGCCTAAATCAGCTCCATTGACTGTTAATTCCCTTACCAGCTTGTCCTTAGAGGTGAATTTATCACCCCACTTGGAATCCATATTCTGTCGCCTGGGTTTATTGTGGCCCTCCTTGAAGTAGACTAGCTTGTGGTCAGGCTTCTTGAGGTAGGTGCTCAGCCAGGTTCCAGCGTCTTCGCCACAGTCCATACCTTCCCCGTCTAGTCTCCAGATTCTGGCGGTGACATTCATCAGAATAGCATCATCGCGAACGAGGTGTTGTTTCCAAATTGATATTTGCAGGATAATTATATAGCAACTGATAAAATGCTCTCCGAATGAAATTGTTTCATTCAGTGACTTTAACTATAAAGGTGAGATTAGGGCTTTCAAAGCATACATATTGATAAATCCTATTGATTTGCATGCACGCGTCTTCTGAAAAGCACTTCCTCCCTGCGTGTCATGCCAGGAGGAAGGAATTCCCCACATAGTATGGTAATCCCACACAATTATGCCGAGGTATTTTTCCCGTCATAGTTTCACTTCAAATTGGACACTTAAGTTTTCAGCCATGAGTTGGGGTTCGACAAACACCAAGTGGGGGAATTACGGTTACATGTTCCTCAGCAAGTGAGTGATTTGGCTAATCGCCCCGCCCCAACTGTGCGGGATAGCCGCATCAGGCGTTTGCACAGCAAGCTACAGATGCAGAATTCCCATGTCCCAAAGAAAGTATTTTACATGTACAGTGCACGCAAAAATATACCGCAAGCACATGTATACTGCATGCACTTCTACATAAAATTTCAACTGGCGATATTTATAGCATACCTGGTTTTTTTTTTTTTTAAAAACACTCTTTTTTCACTTTTTTTGGAGATCCCGAGATGTGTCCTAGTAAACACAAGCAATTAAAATTGGCTTTGCAATTTTTTGCAGTCTAATGAATAGAACTAGTTGAAACACAGGTAACAACTTCACGTGTGTTTCATGTTTGCAATTTTATTTCAAAGGAGATATTGTTACTGACAGCGCTATATACATGTATGGACTGAAACAGGCTGGGGATTACGGTTCCTTTTTTCCTGGAAAGTGGCATAAAAGCAACATTTTCCCCGTTTCGTTCTGTCGAGTAACCTGTCAGCTGTATGCCATCATAAAATTGGAAGAATGGAACCACCGTGCGACATGTGCCCCTGATACCGTACCCGTTTAAGAGAGCATTTTTCCCCGTGTCCTTACCCAAATGTTCTGACAGGGTTTACAGACTCCGCAATGTCCGACAAGCGAACGCTAAGCGGGTCCATCCCGGGCGCCTCGAGAATGAGACAGTCTCCGTCTTCCGAGATTCGTGGCTCAAGCAGAGCCAACGTGGGCTCCTGTCGCAAAGTCACCATCCTATTTGCTTCACTCAGTACGACGAAGACCCTGGACATCAGAATACGAGAGAAGCTTGTATTTGACAATCGAGGTCCTTTCAACTATATTATATTCATGCATTTCGGGCATTGAGTCTTTTTCCCACCGCAACTCATTTCATTTATCGGTGCCAGGTTCCTCTCAGGTTTAAACGTTCTCATTGTACTTCGAAACAGCTTCACGTATCAATTCTTGATAGGTTATGCTTTGGAACATAATCCCCATAACATCACTAGACCCTATACATGTACAGGCATATCCAGCAAGAAATGAGACCGAGGGTACCCCCCCCATGTCCAATCGCTATAAACACTCTAGACGAAAGATTATATCGTGCCGCGTAGCGGCTCAAGATGGGTAATTCGGCCATAAAGTTGTTATCACCATGGGCGCCATTCGAGTGTGAACGTTAATGAGTGTGCGTGCCCGTCGCGGCGCCTGCACCTGCGCATTAACATCCATTGCGCAGGCGTAGTCCAACCAGAATGGCGCCTATGTGATAACAACGTTTTACGCGTATTTATGGTGAGGTTCCCCATCTTTGCTCTAGACTAGGTAAGGCTTGCGGTCGCACCTTGTACAAGAAAATATCTTGAACAGGAGATATTTTCTTGTACATGGTGCAACCGCAAGCCTAACCTAATTTATAGTACTTTCACCATGCATAGCTTCAAGTCTTATCTAGACTACATTGTTACTAAACACATCCCCCCCCATGTCTGAAAAGAATTCCTCAGATGCCAGTGAGACAATGACCAACACAAAGCAGGGGGCTTCTCTCCATCTCATATCTTGCTTCATATATATATATATACAAGTCTTCACCACGTTCATATAATGCGACTGCTATTATAAAGCATCCACAATGAAAGCGGCGCTGATCCGCTTACGGGGTCTATATCCTATATGTGCATCTTTTGAAAACGGTCTCCCAATGTTCTGGTTCGTCTTCGCTGTCACAACAGCCCCAGTACAGGACACTGGAGAACGAGCAAACCCGTTGGCCAAAGGTCATCTAGCTATAATATACATGTATAACAGCAACAGTTGCCACATACTAGTTTATTGTAAATGTCTGTTCTCTTTTTCTTAGCGGTGCATATTGCAGCAAAATACTTTTGTTAACTGTTGGAATTTTGTTAACTTTTAAAAAGTTTTTTGGTGGTTGAGATTAACAAAAGTCCCGGCCGAAGTTAAGAGTATTGTGTACCAACATGATTCCAATTGCAGTAATGCCATATTCCTCGCATTTTATTTTTATCAATTGTCTGATCATGATGCCGTAATCAAACATTACATGTAAGCACTTATTGCGTGTTAGGTTCCACTGTATTGTTTCGTTCAAACTTTTGCTTCTTGTCCAAAAGAGAATGTGTAGTACTATGGTACCACATAGCCAGCAAGAAATGAGACAAAGGGGTACACAATCTAGACTATTGTCACCTAACACATCCCGCTGAGTATTCCTGACATTCCAGTGAAACAATGACCAACACAAAGCGTGGGGGGGGGGAGGTTCTCTCCGTCCCATATCATGATTCATATGTCAACTAGGGGTGAGTCCCCAAAACAAAAATACATCTTAAGAATGATATGCAAACTATCATGTATTGGTACATAGTCCAGCGTGATATAGTAGGCTATACGAGGCGGGATCAGTGGCATCAGAGCTATTTATGAAGAGGGTTGTCACATTGGTGTCTCAATAGTTGGCACCAATATGACCAAAAAGGATGGGTTATTCATCAGTGCACATGGAAGTCGGCTGCATGCCGTACTAGTACGACACACATAACGAACAGCCATTTCTGTTACTATGTGCGAAGGTGGCGATATGTTCTCTGTATAGGCCCAAAGCTAATTTCACAATGGCGCCGATGGGACATACATGTATTATACCTGTCGTACAGACCATTGCCGCGAAGCCCCGCCGGCGTGCACTCTGCACTCGACACCTGATGACCTCGGCACGACTTGATTGGGTGGATCCAAATCTCACTCAGTTGGCCTACCGGTTTGAACACCGGTTTGGAGGTCCTTCTGTACCACCAGACTGCGCTGCTGACGATGCCAGCCGTGGCAAGGCCCACCGCACCAGCAATCACCAGTCTTTGCTGTGTTGTCACACCAAGGGTTTCTGGCAGAAGAAAGGGCATGTTTGCAGCCTCGCCACTTCCAGGTTCCGTCGCAGCCAAAGAGACCCAGGGACAAGACCTAGATAGCTATGGCCGGAGATGGAACACCATTGTTGATGTTACATAATCGCTACTCTCTCGGAACAAATCAAAAGGCTGCATTTGACATACTCAGCATAATCAGTGGGATGGGTTGAATAGTCAGGCCGAACTGTGGACAGGGTAGTTTGCCCTCATTAAAGATAATCTGTAGTGATATGTGCTTAAGACCAAAGTCAGTTAGAGTATTGTATGCATGTTGTCGATGCAGAATGTCAAATAAATAAACGTCATGACAAACAAAGTATCCCAATAAAGCATCGAAATTACATGTGAACTGAAAAAAAAATATTTGGGTATGGATCAACTCAAGTTGTGGGATTGGTATTACCTCGGAGGAAAATACGTAATAATAGGTCCGCCACAGCAAACTGCTCAGACGTGATTCACGTGTATAAAGGATTTTCAGTCACGTGATTCTTGACTGTCAAGTTACAAAGATGTGCGCGGAAACGCGCGCGCATTCTAAAGGCACCTTTCCATAATGTACTTTTTACGTTGCGTACACCATGCGTTCATGCGTTTCACCTTCACAGACACAAAAATCGATCCTGTTAACATAACACACATGTGCGTTGCGTTCGACCGTCAAAATCGCCCCGGGAGCGATTTTGACGGCTAGGCCCTACGTAACACTTGGCGCAAGTGCTGACGCACATATAATGGAAAGGCGCCTTACGTCTCTCAACATTCTGGCTTAGGCCTACACGAAATTGCCAATAGAAATACACAGATTCGAAAATGCAGGCGCCTCCGCGGACACGGTACGTTTCCTGGAATGCCTTTGCCCGTCATGTTACCTCACGTGGAAACCTCCATATTCTGGTCAAGTTTGGTCTCCACGTCACACACGACAAAGGGTGGGGGCATGGATTTTTTGCCACAGTGGGAGTATGATTTCTGAAAGCTCAGCACGACCTCTATCCCATGCAGATAAAATCTTGACGCCGGCTAGTACAGGCTACGGGTACACATAAAGTCGGTGACTTGAAAAGTGTGAGGGGGGTGTGACTCCCCCCGGTGATAAAGTTGGAGGAGAGGTGTCCCAAATATCCCGGGATCTCTGCCCATGGACGCAGGGGTACTCCCCCTTCGAGGCCTATAGCTGCGGCGGTAGACGGAAAGGGAGGACACGTAGAACGACATGCGTCCAATATGCATATTATGCTCAGAAAGTGCACAGTACGTATTTTATGCGTCCTGAGCAAATGACGCACGTCATCCTACGTGTTCCCCTTTTCCGTCTACCAGCTGCGGTCCCCAACTCATAAATTAGAATGGTGAAGTCCGCCTATAAAAATAAGTGTTTTAGCTGTAACTGAACCCCTTCGGATGAGCGCCCCTAAGTGCCTCCTTGGAAAATAATATCCCACACACGACGATTGTAGCCATAGAAAACAAAAACTCACCGGAAAAGAGCATCACACCGAGAAAACAGGGTGGTAGGAAGACTAGTTATGGCAGCAAGCCCGTGGACTGTTCAAACATTAAATAAAACAGACCAAGTAATAGCCGCCTGTGGACTCTGACCGATGGTTCGTGCTGAGACCTTGCCAGCTAAAAATGGCCAGGTCATCCAGCGTCACCCTGCATGCGCCTAAGTTACACGTTATCAGCCTTTCCACTTGTACGACACCAGTCGTGCGTCGTTTGAACAATGTGTCCTTGCAATGCTCTATGGATGAACCATGGAAGAATGAAACACAATGCAAAAGAGGGTTTTTGTGGCCAAACCGACCCCGAACACTATACTTAGGCCAGCGTTATCATATTGGATAACGAATATATACCATGAAATTGGGAAATTTCAGAGAACAGGAAAATAATTAAACTCTTACGTTCTACAGTACACAAACAAACTAGGCCTAATGAAAAAAAAAATTTTGTGTACAAAATTGTAGTTCTCTCTCTCCCTACAAAACTTCTTAACTTGGTCTCCAGGCACCACACTATTTCCATCGATTTTTTTTTGCATTAATGAATAGTGTTTGAGTCGCCTAAACCATGGAGGAAGGAGGAAACCATGTACATGTTTACCACGATGCCTAAACTCTAGCACCACCGACAGAAGTCCGGCGAAAAAACGTAGAGTTTTCCGGGGGTTTCATCTATGGAACGCCAAAGAGGCAAAAACTTGGAGGCAACACATCGATCGTTCTTCAACATCGCTCGATCGTTCCCTACATCGATCGATCAAACTCTTTTGATCGATGAAGAAAGAGCGATGAAAAAAAGATCGATGAAGAAAGAGCGATGAAGAGAGACCGATGGAGAGAGACCGATGGAGAGAGACCGATGGAGAGAGACCGATGGAGAGAGACCGATGGAGATGTACTGAAAGCCATCAAGAACCTCAATTCATCCAAGCCTCCAGGTTTAGATGGTATATCCCCCAAAATTCTTCAATTCGCCGGACCCCCTATTGCCCCAATATTGACACGCATATTTAATCTCAGTCTCTCTACAGGTTCAATTCCCCACAGCTGGAAGTCGGCAAATATTGTTCCTGTATTCAAACAAGGTGATGAATCCATGATTGTTAACTATAGACCAATCTCTCTTACGTCAGTCCCTTGTAAAATGCTTGAAGATTTTATCTCTAAGAAACTGCTTACCCACTCTTCACAGTATAATACCATTCCTCAATCTCAACATGGCTTCCAACCTAAATATTCCTGCACTTCTCAGTTGACAACCCTGTTTGATACCTGGTCCCATACACTGGATGACTCCAAACCATCCACAATAGATGCCATATTCCTAGATTGGTCTAACGCTTTAGATAGATGTGACCATTTTATTCTTCTCCAGAAGTTGCATCGATATGGTATCTGTGGTAGCCTTCTCTCATGGATTAAAGATTTTCTTTTTGACAGACAGCAACGAGTCATCTTTACATGGG